GGCAAGAAAAGACATTGACTCAAGTGTAAACAGAGTCCAGTGAAGTGAATAAAATTGGAGGTATTATAGATTCAACTTAAGACTAAGTAATGTAAATGAAATTTTTTCAAAGTCTTTTTTTAATATGAAAACGTTTTTGTTTTTTCTAGGATTAGTGTAGATTTACCCAATATATATTTACGTGTTTGAAATAAATGTATTAAATATCTTTAAACAGATCAACATTAACGTTGAATGATCGATATGTATCTCAATTACAAACATTCTGCTATGTCATTAAGTCAATAAAACGTTTTCATTCTTTTTGTTATTGCTTGTTCTTGATATTGGCTCTCGATTAGTTTTATGAATTATTCATAGTCATATTATATCTTTACTTTATATCTTTTTATTTCTAAACACTATTATATTCTATTTTTCATGTCACAATGTTACCGGTATTATTTTTCTGATAAGCGTGCTAAGTGTTATTGTATCCGCTTATTGTTATTATTCATAATACACTACGTTGAAACTTTGATTGAAGAACGAACATTTGTTATGCGGCATTAATTTAGTTCTAATAAAACCGTTGGCGCATATCGAGATATATATTTTGTTAGATGACTTTCATGTTTGCTAACAAGATAAATTATCATGTTTTTCATCAAATTATAATATCATCCGTTCATCAGCTACTCGTTTCAATAGTACTAGCAAATATCATATTTTTTATCAATGCATAACATCAATTGATATATATTTACTAACAATTTAGTAATTGTTTCTCAGATATTACGCTTTCTATCAGTATGTGGAATCATTTGTTTTCAATTACAAAAATTATTCATTCCGTGATATCATATATACGAATTCCCTTGTAAAAATGAAACAATACTTTAAATAATCAAGTAGTTATATTATAGTAGACGTCTTGTAATACAACGACTCTACAGCTAATACGGTCGTTGTTTTAGGGTTTTCTTGCTGTTTTTGTTTTTTTTCGTTGTTGTGTTGTTGTTGTTATTTTTGTGCATATTTTCATTATCATTACTTTCTTTACAAATTTTATTGAAACATTTCTTTAAAGTGAATTAGTGGTTTGAAATAGTCACACCTAGGACAAGAGAAATACTTACAGATATTGTTAGAGAGTGTTTTACATTATACGATATAACTTTATAAAGCAGATAAAGATTATGCTAGTCTAAGAACAAACATTTACTATTCATCATATATAACCGGTACCGTTGCCCAAGTGGTAACGGCGTCCTCCTTCAGATCGGTAGATCGAAGGTTCGAACCCCACGGGGAGCGTTAATTTGAAGGATGAATGTTTCTCATGGGACTCATTCCGAAATGGCCGCTTCGTGAGCCACGAGGTAGTTAAAATTAGTGGTTACAATTTCTATCCGCTTGGCGCCCTGGCATAGTGTAGGATTGGGAGGTACATGGTATACAAGCAAATGGTGGTCTCATAAGTCAGAAAAGGCTGGCCCTTTCAGTAGGAGTGACACTATAATAAGCAAGACATTTACCTTTTTTATAATCGACCATACCATCGATCATAATCTATTTAATGATTGAAAAATATTATATGAATATCCAAATAATACATTTCTAGTGTTTTATCAATGTTTGAAATAAAATACATGTACTTATGAATAATGTGTTCATTGTAGGCCAGTCCTCTGCAAGTTCGTAGTAAATGTTATTATAGTATCTTAATCACGATATTAACGATTAATATGCTTTTACTTCTTATCTTAGTGCCTAGGTTCATCTCGAAGTTTTCAGCTTGGACATATTTGCTTATTTGAAATTACTAATCCAGTCACTGGGAATCATTATCAAAGGATTTTTCAAGTATGTACTACTGAAATTATTTGCGCTGGACAAGTTTTTGACCTGGAAGGTAAGTTTGAGCCTAAGGTTTATAGTCACGCTGGATAAGGCTGCACGTATACACGGAAGATGAGGAAGAAATTCTTAAACAATAGACGCCTAGTGTGACTACAGACGTCATGGAGTAATCTGACATCAGACGATCTGCTATTGTCTTCAGATATTCTTAATTAGATATTTGTAGTGTTATAACTTTGAAAAATCTCGCAATTACGGTTTTGCTTGAATTGTTGGGTTTTTTAGTTTTCCGAAGTTTTGAAGATTATTGCATACCTTCTCCTTCAAACATAAGGTCATTATGCGATGCATGATCCTTGGCAAGCCAAACTGTGTTGCTCATATTCCTTTCTGAACCGTTAGTTTAAGCCCAAATAAGTATAACATCTCTTTTCATAAATGACGACATTTGTATTGCTATTCAGAAACTGAGTAAATAGCATCCTTGCATAAAATAACTGCGCACGCAGGTGTACATTTAGGGCCGAGAAAAGAACAGCATTACCAATCAGAGACTCATGATTGCACGGTTTTTATATGCTTGACTCTGGGCGCAATGAAGAAACAGTAAGGTACAAGCAGTGGTTTCTAAATACGAAATACTGTATAATTTTATGCAAGAAACCTTCGTACTTATTTAAAGTCCTCGCCCTGCAACCTCATATTTTGATTTTGCAAATGTTAATGCACTAACAAAAGTTATTTGAATTAATAAAACCTCTTTTTGTGCCCTGCACACGTGTTTTTATTCTGCTGATCGTTCAGCGAATTGGGAATATTACATCTAACCCCTATTCTTCCTAATTCTAAAATAAATTGAAAATTTATTGGCTGCTTCTATGAGGTGCTACAATATTACTCTCTGATTCTCTAGCAATTTATCTTGCTCCAGAAACAGCTATTCCTTCCGCTCTCGTAACCATCTCGTCAGACGTTAAATTTTCAACTAGCGTCATGTGGTGCATCTTCTTTTGAAACTTACCCACAGTTGAATTTCTTTAATGAAAAAATATCAGTAGAAAAAGACATGAAATTATGCCTTTTAACAGATCATAAAAATGTAGGATAATGGATAAGGTATCAATGTAAAGCTAAATAAGATATTTATATAACCTTAAAGATGTTTGATTTCTTCATGAATTTCAAATTATTAAGCAAGATAACGTTTTAAATACGGATTCATTCGAATAGTTGCTACGGTATCTAATACACAAGTACAAACAGACAAACAAAATCAATCACACAAAAACAACTCTCGTTATAGAATTTTATATTAGTATTCGTTTCTGTGCGCAACTTACAGCAGTCTGCCGTTATTTTAGTTCTTGGAACGTCTGTAGTCGAGTTGTTAAGATCGTGGACTTCAAACCACTTACCCCTAACCGCTGTTGATTCGAGTCCCGACAGTGACTTTGAATACTTTCATTAGATGAAGCTATCCCTCTAGCTTCCGGATTTCAGTGATTCTGCTAGTGTGCTCGTTCGTGTCTAAAATAATGCATGGAAGGGCAGCTAAGGTCTCCCTCCACCGGTTAAGTTGTAGGACCTATACTGAGCTGGTGCAACGCAAACCAAATCAAAAGAAGACTTATTTCTGGACCTATGTATGAGGAACATTTATTAATGTATGAATTTATGTTTGAAATTCTCTAATTAATAAAGATAACATGTGATATTATGTTAGATAAAAACTTTTATAATGTGTACAGCGACAGGTACATCATGCCCCACTAAGGATTTATTATCATGTAAGGTAAACCACATATCTTGATAACAATCAACGCTGATACAGAGCAAAGGTAATTATCTGCACTTGATTAAGATATTATCAGTTAAGCGGAAAGTTATGTTATAACCAGTGAGATGAAATTATAATTGCACTGAACTTGATATAATAAAAATGAAAATAAAATGTAAAGGTAACTTGAATACAAAAGAAGTTGTCTGACAGTTAATAATCTTTGAACAGATCTTGTAATGTTACGTTACCAGCAATTTTAAGCGTTAAGAATAACTAGGCTTTAATAATACATAATTGAAATTTATCAAAATTTCAATACAAATTGACAGAAAAAGTGTGTTGATAGGAAAAATGATACATTTTATGTTCTTAACATTACAGTTACTGTAGAAAGTTATGTGACCAAAGGCATTTCCAGTCCTACTAAAATGTTTATTACCAAATTTACATGAAAAGCTTTTTATGTCATATATGATTCTGTATTTTGTTACCATAATGCGACATCACGTACAAAAATGTTGTTTTGAAGAAAACACTACCAAATTCGCTCTTTAAAAGGACTATTTTCCGAAGAAAGAGAATGCGTTTAATACTACATGAGATATAGATTTAGAGCATGTTTGACGATAATCGCCTTTTAAGTAAATGAAGTAACTATTTAACATAATGAGATAATGTGTTATCAAATAAACATTGCAAATGTAAGAAATTATGTTCAGTGCAACATTTTATTTGAAACCTTATTTGATCTAGACATAACACATTGCGCGACTTATATCCTATCAAATAAACACACTATACACACGTCAAAAACACGCACAACATGCTATATTTAAGAGTTACCATCAACAACCCATTACATACTCGTGCATATACAACATGACCACTTTAAAGGATGGGGGTCGACATGACAGGTACACCATGTCCCTATCACACTAGTTAATTAATCCACAAATCTTGATACAGCAATGGCGATAAGAAGTAATTATATATACCTTATCAATAGTTGAATCGAATGTCATTACGATATAATCCATTGTGTCATTATTGCATTTTTATGATTAAATAAACTTTAAGTGGAAGTAATCGCGATTGTAAAGGATTAAAAATATTTAAAGATGCATGGTATTTATTTCATTTAATTAATTCTATCAGCAATACTTTTTTTGAAATCACGAGACTATCATAATAGATTTTATTAAGATTTTAATAATAAATGGATAAAAATAATAATATTTGAGACATTTAAGATTTCTGCACAATGCGTAGCTAACAAATTGTGAATTGATAGTTTATCTAAGACGTCAAGTTTTCTATTGTATCATATACATTCCCTCAGAGTATGAATGCTTTTTCTTACTGTGCTCGCAAGAAAGTTGAATAAAAAACTAACAATAAATGATACAGTGATTGAAATTTAACGTGATTGCTCTAATAAAAATAATTCACCTTGCAATAAACGACACAGAGATTCCATATCAACACTGATAATTCGTCTGCTTTGGTATGAAATATTTACATAAAGTTTTTTTTTTAATATTTACTTCATAGAGTAAAATACGGAATATCACGGAATGTGCCGGAATCCCTACAAGGTAAGAATGTTTGGTATCTTTTATCATAACAGACGAGTTTGTTTGTTTATTTTATTTACTTTTAATTATTTTATTTTTGTTACAAACATTTTATCCAAAAAAAAAAATGTCTGCAATATACATGTTTTCTATAAATAAAAAATATTACTATTATTATCATTATCATTATTATTATTATTATTATTATTATTATTATTATTATTATTATTATTATTATTATTATCTCATTACTGATTAATATCACAATAAAAAGAACTTGATTTAAAGATCTCGTTTACATGTACACGTAAACAGTGCGTATTCTACTTCTCGTATTCAATGAAATAAATAAAGTAAATATTAAAAGTAGATAATTTATTCAATATTCAACTTCACATCGTATATATTTGAATATATTTCATTGAAAGTATTTTATTTATAAAAATGCTTTATTATTCTTAACAAGACCATAATAAATAAGAAAACTGTTTATAAATAGTTTGTGTGAGAAAAGTAGAAAAGTTATGAACAGATATTGTACGATTTTTACTGACTGTACATTGTATTTATGTTTATCTTACAGGATAGATCTAATGGATTAATTTGTGAAATCTTGTGAAGATATAATTATATTTTGGATTTTAACGCATTCTGACACGCCGTTTAATTGTGGACAAACACAAACCTTGCTCCAAGTATGAGGTTTTAAACACCATTCAAACTATTGTAGTAAAATCAGACGGATTAACCTTGAGAATAATGGAAGAGTAGTCGAAGTACGCACGAATTAATAGAAGTGATCGTTATCTAAATTGTAGATTTTTTAACAAACACGGGTGATACAGCCTTCAACCTTATCAAGCCGTTTTTTTGTGTTTCGAAGGATATGAACCAGAAAATACATTGGTTAAACCTACATCGCAAATACCAAAAGAAGATGAGAAAAAAGTGCTGGTTGTCTTTAAGGGATATCGATGATTTGAAGAATATTGTAAACGATGTACATATGAAGGAAGTAATGTATAGGATTTAAATTTGTGAAAGCAGTATGTCTTTATCATTTATGATGGAGACATTACAAAGAATTGTGTGATGAGAAATTTTGCAGTACAATTCACATTTGGAAAGGACAGACGAAATAAATCTCAGAGGTAATTACTAATGATGTTAACTTATAAGTTAAAATGAACATCAATTGAATCTGTTTTGTTAAACCTACTGAGAAGAAAACTATTGCCATACTTTATATTAATAAATTGTATGAAGGGCCAGAACAGAGAACTGGTGATAGTCGAAAAACGTTGTGCATGCCCTGAAGCGTATTTTATAATTAAAGACTTATGTAATCTATTTTTAGAGTTCTATTAAGGAGCAAAGAATCATTGAAATGAAACCATAATGACTACTTGATACAAGTGGTTTTGTTATACACACAAAGTGTGCCATTAATTCCGTGGTAGATAAGTAGAGGCTACATCGTTCATTCGATATCTGACAATGAAACTTCGGTACTTGACATTGAAATGTATTGAATATATTCGTTTATATAAAGTTACTTTTTTGTAAATAATTTTCATTGCGGTTAATCAAAATGTGCAATTTGTTCAATAATTTATTTAACTTCTAATGATTTTTGTCATAAAAGGAGTGTGCAAGAGACAGTAAATGACTGGGACCATGTCTTAAATTACAAATCTTATGTCAACTTATAATTTTTGAAGGAAAGGCTGTTTTATGTTTTTGCAGACAAAGTGACTGTATGAATTTCCTCGTTTAAGAAAAGAAGAATTATTTGGACTTGGGCACGATGCAAAACACTACAATTGATAAAGCAGGGTTGCTTCAAGAACTGAACAATGAAAAGGCCCTCCTTATGACACCAGTGATGGTTATTCTTGGGATTTTAATGGTCATTGGAATAATTGGAAATGCAATGGTATGTTTCTTCTACAGCTGTAAATCAAGACAAAGTTCTAACACCGTGTTTATTGTAGCCGTTGCAGTTTACGATCTTATTCTGTGTGCTTTGTCAATTCCTATAGAAATAGTTGATCTCCGTTTCTTCTATATATTTACAAACAGCGGCGCTTGTTGTTTTATGAGATTTGTGAATTATTTTGGAGGTATCGGCAGTGTGTGTATGCTTCTTGTGATAGCTGGAGACCGATACAGGAAGATTTGCATGCCGTTTAAAAAGCAACTGAATGTTCGGGAAGCTAAAATGGCGGGTGGAATATCTGTGATCGTTTCATTAGCGTTCTCCTGGCCAGCATTCGTATTTTATAGATCGGTTTCCGTTGATGTATTGACTAGCAACGGCGAAGTGTTAAAAGGCAGCGACTGTACCACTGTCAGGGCAGATTCATATAAAGTGTATTTGTGGATTTTTAACGGCGTGTATCTAGTTTGTTTCCTTATTTCATCAGCTGTGCTATGTGTAATGTACTGTCTAGTTGGCCGTGTTTTATTTAAGCATAATAAATCTAGAAAACGTTTCAGTTCCCAGCCGACTTCATCAACTTCGAATTCAAGCGGAACGGATGCTAATCTTATGGAAATTGGAAATGAATCCTCGAAATCTACGGACAAAAACAAATATATCGTAAATGATACAACAGAATCAAAAGAAGATGCGACAAAGAGAATAAGTGTATTCAGTGATGTGTCACATAAAGGATCAAATTCAAATGAGAAATCTCAGAACCAATTAGATTTAAAGACGGTTAAGTATACCACAATGATGTTGGTGATAACACTTGTGTTTATTATCAGCTTTCTACCACATCTAATACTTTCTTTGTGGAGAGCATTTCAGAATAAGTATGAAGGAGAAACACTTACTGACGCTCAACTTGTTGCATTCCAATTAGGATTGCGATCCTATTTTTTGAACTCCGCCATCAACCCTTTTACATACGGATTTTTTAATCCAAAGTTCCGCAAGTTTTTCTTCATCACGTTTCTCCCATGCTGCCGAAAACCGTCAGAAGGAAGCACAATTTCCTCAAGCTCCGGTGCTACTTAGTGTATTAGCATCGTTCGCATTTTGAAGGAAAGCCACTGTTAACCATCTGAAAAAGCCTACTGAGAAATACTGATATTACATTTTAACTAAATTTGAAAATGAAAAACAAAATATTCTTAATCCTCTGTTCTTTGGAACATTTTACTTGTTGCAAAAATGCAAAATTGTTTAAGATGGAGATGTCACTTTGATAATGCTGTCGTAAAGACAAATAGTATTCAAGGAACCATTTTATTTTTATAAAATTTTAGCGACAAAGATGTTTTTCTTTTATATCATTCAATGCAAAAGTATTATTTCATTTTCACAAATAAACAAAGTGCCAACCTGCATTGAAATGTAAATATATGTATGCGTGTCTCTGTGCGAGTGTACATGATTATAAGCCTATATGGGTTTAAGTGATACTTATAGTGATGTAAAAAGTCATTTAGGTGCATTCGACGATCGGTAGGCCTGTAATATGAACTTCTTATCTACATTTGATAACATATTAATACTGTTTATTATCATTACTGATTATTATCATTACTGATTATTATCATTACTGATTATTATCATACCATCTAACGTTAAAGCTACTATTTCACAGATTTGATTTATTTTGATTTTGCTTTCACAAACTTTGTGTTTTATTATAAAGTCATGCCAACAACATCAAAATCACTCTTTCAGTACTTGCATAGATATTTTAAAGACGTTTTCGGGAGTTTTCATAAAGACAAATAGACAAAGTTCAAATGTTCAATAGAATTTCTTAAAAATTTGCCTTTTGTAAGAACACCTTCATTAATACCATGCCTGTAGTATAACTCAATGTCAAAGCGGTTAGGACACAAGGAGGCCACAAATTTATGTCTTATTTAGCCCATGTTTTAAATTTAATAAGGCTATTTCACCATTATGACATATCATTTGCAATCCGGTTAAAGGTGTTTATCAAGAAAAAAATAATATAATTCAATTCAATCTAGGTAATTTAGTATGAATAAGTAATCGGTGCCTTTAGACGTTGGAAACACAATACATCAAACGTGGACCTTAAATCTGAAGGTTAAAACATTTTATTAATTATTTCATTTGTACCAGTCTTCTTATCGGTCTAATTTTCTTGCACCATATAAATCCGCAGTGTTGGTCCCAAATCTCACAAAAAAACTCCCAAAAAAGCGTCTTTTTACATTTTTATACAAAATTATCAAGGTCGGTTGGTCTTATTATAAAATTATTTGTTTTTTTATATAGACGAATATAATTTTCAAAAGTATTTCAAGGAGGCATTATACAGTCAAGATACGATTTAACAATATAGATAGTTTAAGGAATGAATTACATTCCAATCTGAATAGTCATATAAATCAGTTGTTTGCATGTGAGTTCGACCCATTTTGGCCACTTTGTTAATGCATTACAATGATCATGTCATGACAGTCTTACCTTTGGGACCTGGGTGATTTCTTACTTGTTAACTTTCGTGTAAATGAGGCTCTACTCATAGTCAATTTTGACGGGAAAAAAAATATATTGCATTGATTTCATGCGAAAATCTGACGATATTACCACCCGGTGAAAAATTTTGACACCGAGAACAGACATACCCATAATTTTCGTTAATTGAAAGCTGCGAAATTTCTATTTTAAAACTATTTTAATCTATGGATATAATATTTATGGTGGCTGATTTTTGCCATTCAAGTTTTCGTATCGTGACCCCGCCAAGTGAAAAGTCGAGAATTAACAAATTAAAATGGCAGGGGTGCGTAGCAAACACCCGCAAATAAGCGGGGCGCGGGGCAAAGTTAAATAAATAAATTTTCGACCCGCGCCCCCGCTAATTAGCGTGTTTTCGCCCCGCGACCTCCCAAGCGAAAAGTCGAGAATTAACATGTTGAAATGGCGGTGACACGGAGCGAAAACACGATAATAAGCGGGGCCCTAGTAAGCGTGTTTTTGCTCCGTGCCGACGCCTTTTTATTCCTTAAATCACTCTCCGCGCCCCCGCGGGGCGAAGTTTTATTACTTAATTTCGCTCCACGCCCCCGCTAATTAGCGTGTTTTCGCTCCGCACCCCCGTTATTTTATCTTGTTAATTCTGGACTTTATTATTATTATTATTATATACCACATTTCTATAGCACTCTTTTCATAAATAATAAATGTTCAAGAGTGCTTTACATAAATCCGATAAAACATAATCATATATATATATAAGACATAATGTACAACATTAATTAAGTAAACCTATTAAACAATAATGATAATCTAAAACCAGTAAAGGATGTTAAGAAATACAGACACATTTAGTTTAAAATCAAGGCACAATTAAAAATTAACACTGATAATTAGCAAAAGTAGTACATGTATGATGATTTATGAACTAACGTCCATAGAACTTTTATGAAATAATGTGTTTTGAGAGCTCTCTTAAAACATGGCAAGGTTATTACAGTCTCTAACGTCAGGTGGTAACGCGTTCCATAATTTCGCTGGCGGCTGTCTGGAAGCACCTGTCACCATATCGTACTGTCCGAGATTTAGGCACAACTAATGTCATTGAGTTATTCTGGGACCTCAGATTTCTGACTGGGATGTACACGTCTATCATGTCTTTTATATAGGCTGGTGATTGATCGATGAGGGATTTATATGTATAAGTCAAATTTTACTCTACCGGACCATATGTTCGACCATATTGAGTTTTGGTCACATTCTAGCTGCTGTATACTCTACATTGACTGGAAGCCAGTGAACAGTTCACGTAAGATAGGTGTTTTTATGTGGTCATTGATGTGATTTGAGTGTTTTGGTCACAATTCTAGCTGCTGTATTTTCTGTCTTATCGCGGTTTAGCTTTAGCATTGTTGTCATTCATCCAACTTACAATATCTTCAAGACATCTTTCAATACGGTTTATATTCTCTTGAATTGAAATATTAGTCACTGGTTGAAGGATAGATAGAGTTGTGAGTCATCTGCGAAGAATGGTTGTTTAGATCATGTTTACGGCAGATTTCTCCGACAGGTTTCGTAACATCAAAATAGCTTTTGGGTCCCGGGACAGACCCTTGAGGTACACTGTACTCATGTGGATTTGGCTGTGATAGTTTTTTGTTTATGCATAAGTCTGGTATCGTCGGTCAGGTATGACGTCATTCCATGCGAGTGGCTTGCCTGAAATTTCCCAAAGGTCGTTCAGGCGGCGAAGGAGCGTTCGTGATCAATTGTATAAAAAGCAGCAGACAAATAAGCATCACGAGAATAGTCACATTGTTATTATCCAAAGACCGTAGAATGTCATTTTGAACTTTTAACAATGCAGTCTCGGGCGAATGGAACTTGCGATAAGCAGATTGGTTGACCTCGTGTAGATTATTTGTCTTCAGATGGCTCTCAAGTCGTACGTCAACGACCTTTTCCAAGATTTTAGACTTGTCACTTGGCGGGGTCACAGGGCGAAAACACGAATGGCACAAATTAGCCACCATAAATATTACATTCAATTACAAGATTAAACATATTTTAGTTCAAATCAATGCGAATAGCACTTTGTTACTAGACAGTTATTATATTCAGATCAACTTGAAAGGTCAGAATTATTTTTTTTCCATAAAATATCACTTTAGTTTTATTTTATTGACATCTTGGGGGGGGGGGGGCTTTTTTATTTCAACGAAAGATAATGCAAAATATCTTCAATTCGGCTTTAAGAATAGTTGTCTCCCTTGTTTCTAACGCTTGAGCATATGTATGACTATGAAATACTTTGAAACATTCAACAGACCGTAGCAACATACCAGTAAGCCGTGCTGTTTTTGCACAGCAGTTTTGTTATTCTCTTGCACTGGCGTGTCTGTGAAATTTGGGGAGACGGAAAAGGAAGAAGAGGTCATATCTGCTATCTAATCATGAATGATGTCACAATGATTGGAAAGAAAACGCACATTTTACATATCAACTACTTTCTCCCGATTAATAATTTTTTATAATCAATTAATAAAATTAATGATTAATTAAACAAAATAAATGTATAAATAAAAAAACGCAGACCTCCAACCAACCAGCAAACCTCCCAACCAATGAATAAAAATGAAAAAAAAAAAAAAAATAAAAAAAATAAAAAATTTTCTAATTTTTTTCATTAAATTTTTTTTCATTAAAAAAAAAATCCCTTACTGCAGTAAAATTTGTGCCAGATTTTTGTAAAGTTTTGATAACGCAAAAAATAACGTTGTCTGGGTGTGACACAACCTTTTCATATAACTTTTAAAAACAGAATGATAAGTAACAAAAAAACGAACATTTAACGCCCTTTGTACAAAAACTCCCAAAAAGGTTAAAACGAACCGCTATCAGAGCAAACAAAAAGAAGGCAACTTAAACGGACTTTTTCAAATTAATTAAACAATGTATTTTTAAAACCAAATAAAAGTTTACCCCAGGAATTTCTTTTAAAAAAAAATGGGACAAAAAATTTTAAAAATTTCCCCAAGTTTTTATGGTCCCAAAGGGACTTTTCCTAACACTATTTTTTGGGGGCATTTAAAGGGGGTTTTTAAACTGTTCACAGTGTACTTTTTGTCATTAACCTGGTTTTTTTGAGGTTTAAAAAAAATTACATTTAAAATTTTTTTTTAGCAAAAACGTCCGATTCTCCGTAGGGCACATTTTAGTCAAAGCCTTATTTAAGCATAATCAACAGGGAGACATACAAGAAAAGTTTACATGTCCACTAAAAGTGTACTTTTTTTTTCCCATCCCAACCCGAAGATAATGCAAACATAAATTTTAACCAAGAATTTTAAAATTTTCCGATCCCTTGGGGGATCCCAGACCCCTTTTTTCGAAAACCGCATATGACGCACATCGGGGTACCGGTTTCCGCTGGTAAAGTTTTTTAGGTCAAAAATATGGTAAGGGGATAGCGCGTATTTCCCATGCACGAAAAAAAAAGAACACGGGCGGGCCTTTAGAAGCATGGCCCCCAAAAACCCTGTTGTATTTTGTTAGCGGTGCATATGGTTTGGGCTAGCGACTTTAAAAAATTTTTCTACTGATTTTGAGGAGGCCTAAAAAAATTCTATATTTTTTGGTAAATTGGGTTTTGAGGAATTTTTTTATTTCCCAAAAAATCAAAAAGGTTTTATTTCACTAATTTTGACAAGTGCCTTTTCCGTTATATTTCTTAAAAGTTAAACATTGGGGAAATCTTCATTTAGAAGAATAATTTTGAAGATTTAAATTTAATAATTTTTCATTTTTTTAAAAATACAAGAATGTTAGGCACTTATACTACAATTTTGACTCTCGGGTTTGTTTTTTGCTTTCAAATGCATTTTCCCATTGAAATGCACCAAACCGACAAATTGATAAAAAAGTTGTTTTAAAACTTGAAAATACATTTTAATTCTGCACGGAAAAAGGAAAAAAAAAAGTAATAATTCAAAATTTAAAAATTTTTTATAACAAAACTAACATAAAAACAATAAAAATTTCAAGCTAATGAAATTTTTAAACACTAATAAGAATCTAATTGAAATAAAATTTTTATAAAAAGGCGTTGCAACGGAAAAAACTTATCTGTAAGGATATTTTAAAGGAAAACTTTTTTCTTTTTAAGGGGTTTTTTAAAAAATAAAAAAATAAAAAAACAAGCTTTAATTAAAAAGATAGGAAGAATATTTTTATCTAAAAATACTAAAAATATTTTTAAAAATGTTTTTTTTGCTCGTATATAATTTACAAAAATGTGATTTTCACTCTGAACAAAAATTCAAAAAATAATTAATCGCCAGTTTAAAATATATATCAAAAACATATGTTAGGGGTCTGAACAAAATTTTCAAAAAATGAATAATCTCTGAACAGAATTTTTCAAAAAATATAATGGGCCCTTTTACATGTATTTAAAAAAAAAAAAGTTAATTTTAATTGCTCTTAGTACAAGATATTTGCAAAAAAATGTAATAATTGCTCTGTACAAAAAATTTATCATTGCCCAGAACATATTATGTATAAAAATATTATTATTGCTCTGTACAAAAATGTTATCATTGCCCAGAACATATTATGTATAAAAAAATATTATTATTGCTCAGTAGAAAGTATGTACAAACGGTGCTAGGGGGATTGAGTATGTTCCACTTTATGTACAGTCTCAATCAAATGGAGTCTGCAATTTCCATATAATTTTGTTGTGATTACTGCTGCCGAGGGATCACATTTTACCCTGATTTTTCTACATTATGCAGCATGTGATCTTTTGGTAAAAGCACTACAAGTAATTCATGAAATCAATGCCTAAGAGTTTTTTTGCTACACAAATTAACCGGTACCAAGCTAACATTCAAGTCAGATACCAATAATCAAGAAAGATATGATAATTAAGCTTGATATGAATTTGGATGAAATAAATTCTCGATGTAATGATTACTGTTTACCTAACACATACAACAGAATATCAGAATACAAACGAGGGTGCCATCTTTTTTGTCACTATTCTTAAATATTTGCAATAAAAAATAAACATTATAAACAAATGCATTCATGTGCTTCATAGTCTCTTTTTCTGAATTTCGAATTTGTCATTTTTTTTACGTTCCGGAAGTACTGTCTGATTGATCACGTGACTGTCTTTTGTTCTTCCGCTTCCGGCTCGAGGTCAGACAGCAGCTGCAGCACATAGTGTAAAAGAAAGCCCTGAATTTGGAATTAAAACCACCATAGATTACAGGATTCAGAGAACTATTCAAAAAGATTGATCGGATGCCAATTTGGAAAAATACAAGTCCTGTATCCGACATGAAATTGACCTCATGGTCATCTTCGACGTACCGCCAAATAACCAGTGCAAGGTAGGGTAAAAAACTCACCACAAATACTACAGTAATAATCAGCATAATCAAAGTATACTTTACAGTATTAATGTCAAGCATCTTCATGCGTAACTCTTTGATCTTGTCCGTATCAGTATTCATTTTTGAGTTTTTGAAAACGCTGTTACCAAATAATCGTTTTATACGTCTGACAGTACTGGCACGTGAGCCAGTACTTGAAGTAAAGGTCACATCACTCAAAGGTGTAACAATATTTGACCTTTTAGAGCTATGTGTACTTCTTGACTTTGATGACTTACTACTTTGAGAGCTTAAAGGTCTATTTCTCCTATTCAACTCTGTGTTTTGTGACACCGATTCGTTATTTGATTCCTCAGTATGTAACGGTTCAATAGTTTCAGCAGTCTCATCGACGATTTCCATAGTGTTTTCATCAGGATGTTTTTCATAATCGTCATTTAAAACGGGCATAGGACTATCTGATTGTTGAATTTCAATATATCCATTATCTTGTTCTTCTAATGTAGAAACAGTTTCGTCTGTTACTGTTATCGTTTCACCATCAATATCATGTTCAAATATTTTGATACTTGTCCTGCCGTTGCTATCTTCACCTATTGGCTCATCTTTTCCATTGCATGCATTTTCTTCATCTTTGTTAATTTCTGAATCTCCATATTCACTCTTTAGCTCATTAAAATCATCAGTTATTCTTGGTTGAGTTTTTGAGAATTCACTGAATCCAGAAAGTGCTGCACTTGAAGGACGGCTTGAAAATGTAGCAAAGCTACTTGGTGTTATGGGTCTTTTTCCTTCAGGATTTGAAAATTGTGAGTCTGAATTACTGCTTAAATGTCTTAATCTTTCCCGTGCTTCAATTGGAAATATTTGATTCTGCGATGGGTCACAAATTGTAACAGATTTCATGGATTTTGTGCTATGTAAGGTTCCCATAGTTTTACCACTTATGTCAGTTAAGCCAGTCAATCCAGTTGTCCCCGTAACAGCTGTATATCCGGAAAGGGGCCGATCATTTTCAACCTGTGTTAAGGCGCGAGTCAATCCTCGAGTTACAAATTCTTTAAGATCAACAATCGATCCGGAAGCATCTGGGGGATCTTCGAATACCCTATTTGACAGCGTGCTTGTTTCACGATGGGGTAGCAAATTCTCATCCGACTCGGACAACGATTTGACATTTATTCGTTTGACATGCGAACTACCTTTAGCGACGTATGATCTAAATTTCTTATGTCTGAAAAGCTGACGACTAACAAATGTATACAATACTGCAAGTACCATTGCTATGACTGTAAAGGCAACAAGGTAGATGATATTGAAGGCAAGCATGTACGGTCTGTAACTGTCTCGTTTCGTTGTAGTGCAATCTTTTCCAATCACAGTTTCGCCATCTTTGTTCCGTATCTCAACATCAACTACTTCATTAAAAACAAACGCTGGCCACGAAAATAAAATGGATACAACCCCAGTACATACACATATAACTTTAACATGTTTATTATTCAACTGTCTGTCGAACGGTTTGCATATTCGCCTGTATCTATCTACTGCTATGACAACCAAAGTTATTCCAGAAGAAATTGATGTAAAATGAGTAACACATCTGAGTGCTTTACATGCAAATTCATTTTTGAAATTGAAGAAATATCTCAAATCAGCTATTTCCATTGGCATACCAATTACGCATGTTACTAAATCGAATATTGCAAGAGCGAATATAAAACTAACTGACGTCGATGATTTAGATTTGCATCCGTAGAAATAAACAACCATAGAGTTACCTATAGTTCCAATGAGCATTAAAATCCCCACATATAAAATGACAGGAATAAAAAGCTTGGCTTCTTCATCGTTAAGATCAGACAGAAGCTGTGTCTGGCTTTTTGTAGCGTTATCCATTGCTTTATTGATGATTTTTAAAATTCGTTCCCACCTACATGAACTGTTTGATACTTGTTGGTTTTATTCTGCGTTAGTGGTATCCGCAGCTGATGTCATAGTGAAAAACTGTCCCTCGATTTTTTATCACTTTATGAAGGTTAAAAGATATGTCTTGTATTTATCGTTAAGCTTGTTACAGCATTAGTTTTATTAAAATTGATTCCATAGCCTTCATTGTTCTATGAAAGCATCACATATGTGAGTATCAAACACACATTCATACAGAAATATACAATCTGTTCTGACAACACAAACAAAACAGTATCTTATCCATGAGTTCTTCCTAGTTGAAAAATGGCACAGTTCGGTTGTTGTTGTTTTAATTTCATTAACATGTATTACGTATATGAATTCAAAACAAAACAACAACTACAAAAAACAAATTTCATGTAAATCCTGTATGTTTATGTATATATTAATTGTATGTTTCACAATCTAGGTAACAAAAACACATGTCAAGTTAATTACAGACCTTTTATAATTGATGCAACTGTTTGTTTTTCTCATAAACAAAATATGCAAGTTTTTCCTTGCATTAACATTCTTAATGTTTCTATTTTCAGTAAAATTAAGACAAATAAACTCTTATATTTTAACACGTGTTCTGTCTTAAACCTACGATTAATTAAGCAAACAATTCACACACGTATGGTTACTACAAAAATGTCAAAATGTTTATATTACAATTAATGATGATGTTACTCAAATTACATTAATCATAAGCTAAGTGTATTTCTATTGTAATTAATTAGTGCGTTTAAATGCTTTGATACAATTATATCTATTATTCAGGATTTTATGTCAAGATTTAAGTATAGGTCTAATGTGGTAAATAAAGCATTCTAAAACATTTTTGTACATCAATGAAATAATAAATTCTTTTCTTTTATGCGTGCTACATTTCGTGAAATTTGTTTTGATTTTTTTTCTATCAATATTACTTTGGCTACACCATTTCTTAACAATTTCCCTACTTCTTCCTTCATGATAATATGCTACACCTAAAACACTTCATATTCAGATCATATTCAAATGTCCGTAAAAGGTAGGCTTGCTGTTAAAAACGTCTTGTGCATAAATGTTTGATTTTCCATAGCCATATTGCTGTTAATTATTGATGAATTTGCATACTAAGTGATATTAGAAAAGGTAGCAAACTATGTTCACGCGTATGTCTCAACATAGTGTTATAAACAGTAACAAAATTGTGCGGTGGTATCAAAAGGTTTCATACAGGTGACTACACAAAAACTATGAAATGTATTATCAATACAGCGAGTTATATGAACGTGTAGACATCTACAAAACAAATTAAAGAACATTACAGAATATAACATAGCAAATGTCACATTAGTTCCATCGCGTGACTAGATAAAACAATATAATCTATTTTACCGCATTCAAAGTAAGCTCTCTCGAAAACAACATATAAATAAAACATACGCGTATAGAAACTTTTCAGAGCGGGCACAAATATCAAGTGGCATGCAAACCTCGTGTCCAATAACCCGCTGAAATAAAAAGCTATTGTTAATAATTTGATTGTATCTATAACTATACAATATATCTATATTCGAAAGACATACAATATATTTACGAAGAGCATCTGATTTAATTTTACCTTAAGACTTAAACATACAGTTAAGGAATAATTTTAAGATAATGATCGGCTAACATACATCATTGTTTATTGTGACACAATTTCAAATTAGAGTAGTATGACACAAAGATTTGAATGGAAAAAGGAGAACAAATATAAATGAGCCGTGTCATGACAAAACCAACATAATGGGTTTGCAACCAGCATGGATCCAGACATGCCTGCGCATCCGCGCAGTCTGATCAGGATCCATGTTGTTCGCTATCAGTTTCCCTACTTGTAATAGAGTTGGAAAGCGAACAGCATGGATCCTGATCAGACTGCGCGGATGCGCAGGCTGGTCGGGATCCATGCTGGTCGCAAACGCACTATGTTGGTTTTGTCGTGACGCGGCTCAAATAATGTTTTGATTAGACAGATAAAATCGATAAAATGATAATCTTGTTCATCTGAGACAGACGACGCTTATTTTGATATATCAATTTATAAAGTTCGTAAATTTAACTATGATTTATAAAGTTCTTTAATTAAACTCTAATTAATTTAAATGAGCCGGTTATCAAGTGCATGTATTCCTTTATGTACTTTAGCTAGCATTTTTTTGAAAATATATTTTAACTGTTAGCAATTTTTTGAAAATATATTTTTACTGTTTTACGTAAACTCTTTCACGTATGCTGGGTCACGTGACTAACGTCATACAATCTCACAATGTAAATCTACTAAATTTAATAAGAGTAAATTCTAATTTGATAGGGCGATTACAGTGGCATAATGCTCATTTCTTCAACGTCAAGTTGAGCTGAGTTGGTATTGGAATATGTTTAGGAAAAAATATTAATCTGCTTAAAATATAAAAAAAAGACTGCTTTGTTTATAATTGAATGTTATAGGTAATTTCCGATAGATATTTATAGAAAATTCCTTGGGTCACATGAGTTATTTATCGTTCATGCAAAATAAATTATAAAATTGAAAGAAATAGCGGGAAAATGATTTTTTTTTTACTTTCACTCACTAGATATATACCTTTGCACGGGCATATTGTCACTTTAGGATAGCTTTTATACGTATAGTCGACTCCGTACTAAGCAGTTTTTATATTACTATGACAGTATCTGGGTTAAACAGAACGTTTGTATAACTTAGTCGGTGCTACATTTACCTACGAGTATCGAACGTTTTTGGCGGTCTACGTCTGTACGACTTTGGAGATAGACTGTAGACCGTCGATAGAAACGTACAATTATTATACTAAATAATGCTAAAATTAAATCAACAAATATAGTACCTGATATTTTCAAAGTCAAAAATCAAATCAAACCTACATACACGGTAAACGTATTTAATATTTGACAAGCTTTTGAGAAAATTTAGACGAACAGGTCAAACAAGTGGTGTAATTAAGGTAACATTTTTAGACATAATTATTTCAAATTTTGTGTGTACAAACAATTATTTTGCTTTTGTGGATTGTTGGCTGAATGTTATTATTTGTTTCTTTACAATTATCATTTTGAAAACATTTTTATGATGATGATATTATATCGGAAGACAATGTAAAGATTCCCCATTTCAGAAAAATAGCCCTTCTAAATAATATTCAATCTTAAGTTCAGAAAAGTGTCCATAACTATAGTAAACCTTTGGGTAAAAATTGTTTAAATTTTGCATACAGGTGTACATGAGCAGGTGTCATTTAAAGGAATATAATTGATCTACCGGTATGTTGTCATTACCTTATATAGTGGCCAATAGAATAGTCATACCTTAACATAGATGTATGTCTATACGTCTTTGAATATGTTTTGGCCGCGTCTACACCTAGTCAAGTTTCTTACATGTCACATTTAGATAAGCTTAATAAATGGCCCTTACCACATATAATCAGGCACAATTTTTACTGAAATGTCTTATTTAGATTGCCCAGGATTTATACCTCTGTTTATTTATTTATGCACTTCTGAATCTGTGTATCAGCGTATTGATTTGTTCTTTTGACCAAGACATTGAAAACATTTACTGAAATTCACAGGTCATGTACACTGAATCAACAACAAAAAAGTCAGAAAATAATCAAATAAACAGCACTATCACAAATTTGGGCACATGTTTTGTGTCAAACTGGTGTAATCAGTGTCTTGACAGCCAAAAACTTGTAGAAAAATAGAACCTGTTCTAATTTTCTTGCAAGGAATTATCTTCGTGGATGTCACATTATTTCTCTTTAAAAAGCATTCAAGTAGGGTGTTTACACTATGCAAGACAATAGAATATGAATTTTATCTTATTAACTTATGGTGTATCTCATAAATTATGATAAGCCTATATAGTCTAGTCTGTGATGTTCAAGTTCTTCACACTCGACAGAGGGGAGTAGTTTCTTCCCCTGGACCATATATGATTTGTCAATATCAATGTTATTGTAGGGACACCCTGGATAGACGATGCATATTCAACTTGTGGCCAGATAAGGGGCGTGTATTTCATTTACCAGTGGATCTATTTGCATTGAAAGTTTTTCTAGAGAATTATATACGAGTATGTATGTTAAATTTAAACCTCAAACAATTGTTTTATCAGTGATAGACGACCAAGTGTACTGTTTCTAAAAATAGATACAGCAGACGATGGGGTTTTAAACAAAACAATCTACCTTTTGCAAAGTAGAATTAACTGACATTCTCAGAGAGATAACAAAAGTTAGCCTAATTTCTGACCACCATTTACATTTGTATAGGTTTCCTGTTTAATGACTTTTAAGATTATCCCTCGATGTCAAAGGGTCAGATATATCTATTCTTGTAATATTTCCCGTTTAAAACCTTATCATCCATTATTCATTTAAAACTACTCTATTGTATGGTTGTTGGTGCCACGGATTTATAATAAATATAAATCCGTGTTGGTGCTCATAAAAAGTGAATTGCTACGCTGCTAATCAGCAGACTGAGATAAAACAAATATCACATTTCTGTGTTTAATTGGCATTCAACACTACAATAAAGAAGGGGTGGCAGGGCTGGTTTTGTCTTGTTTTTAATACATTATCTAATTAGTACAGAGTTTCTGAGACAATTAAACAATGTGAGAACTTGTTTTCTTATTTCAAAGTTAATACAATTTAGTTACTAACAAAATGATATTTAACAATAAATGTGACTACACATTTATACCTTCCATACCTTACATATTTTGCGTCTTCTAGATGTAGATGACCTTTGTTTGAAATCAGTTTAGGAGGAATTTTCTTTTGTGCTAGGATCGGTGCTTTCATGGATTTGTGTTATTCAATATAAATGGAAAAGTTTCTTTTGTCGTTGTTACTGATCACTATGAGCAGAAACTTACCATTAAAGCTAATTGGAATTGGTATATGAGAGAAAAGAAATTAAATGAGTCCATGGACAATGTAAAAAAACGGAAATATATCCGGCGCCATCAAAGAGATAGCTAACTACAGTGTAAAGTTCTATTAAGAGACAAAGGGCAGATGAAACTAGTGTTTTTGATTCTGATTTTACTGATTTATGTGAATAATGTATTTGTTCCTCGTGTGTAAATGTGAAAGAATAGTCCTGAATGGAAAAAAGGTCAAGACAAAATACGCGCACATAAAATTTCAATAAAAATCAGATGCAAAAAGTTTTGTTTAATTATGTAACTAGACGCAATGCTTGGTACGTGTAAAAGGAAGTTACTAAGAAACAATGTATTTCTTCATTGAAGAAATCATAACTTCTTATCAACTAGACTTTGAAATTTGCAAAATTGTGTTTTTAATAAAGTAAGGAAATTGTATCCTAATCTACTACAGTACAACCCTCACTGGACACTATTTCTGACCTTAGGTGGTGAGTTTGAGAATTACTACTATAGCATTTATTACTTGATAATAATGTGTCTGTAAAATTGATAAACTTACAATAGTACGTGAGGAATACAAGCCAAGACTTTTATCACTTCTGTTCATTTCCATTGTGAAATATACTGGAGTTATTCACTTTTTATTAATATAAACTACAATTCATTTGATGCAAATTGGATTATTCTCACAAAACTTAGAAAAAAACATTATATATCAGGTTTGTAATACATTGATGTACTTATTGCATGTGCATGGATTCTCATTAGTCCAACTAATTATACTGCGCGACGAGATATTGTGCTATTTTCGTGTCTGGGCAATATCTAGTCAAAATATATTGACTAGGTTGATTCTGAGATAGTTTCGTTCTGGGGCAGAATCTGGCTTTTAGAGGCGAGATATTGGCCAGACACGAAAATAGCACAATATCTCGACGCGCAGTACAATTAGTTGGACTAGGGCAATATCTCGCCTCTAAAAGCGACATTCTGCCCCAGAACGCAAATATCTCAGAATCTAGCTTTGCACGTCAATATATTTTGACTAGGATTCACATGTGATCACATTGCTATGTTTACAAACAATATGTGGTCGTCAGTGGCGGATTCAGGCCCGGGCTTTAGGGCTGCAGCCCCCCCCCCCCCAGCTTGGCCCTTAGATACGTTTACCAGCTGGGCTGGAACATAGTTTTTGTCAGTTTCAAACTTTATTGGCATGTAGTGTACTCCCTTATCAAAATATTTATTGCTGTCATCCAGTTGTTAATCTCCTGGGGGCTTGGCAGATATCTTTATCTATGCTTGACTGACTTCAATGTTTAAACTGCATAATTGATTGGTTAATTACTTTCCAAAGGTCTAATGAAATTAATAGTCACAGATATTGGCAAATAGATATGTTACAAAGTACACCATATTCAACTATCTTTGTTTTTCCATTTTCTTAAGGAAAGCCCTATAATTAATAAAAATTGGAAATTATTTGTAAATTAAAAAGATGGCGAGTTTTATGAAGATAATATTAAAGGAATGGCATTTTAATAACTAGTTTTACTAAGATTTTTATCAAGATGAAAAGATCGGCCATTGCCTTTAATAACTTTTTATGACAGATATATTTTTTTAAATAGAATTCAAATTGTACTGACCTCTGGATTCATTGATGGAAAAAAACTTCTTATTGAATATAAGTGTTTGAAATTATGATTTTGTATAATATAAAGGCAGTATTTTAATACCACTTTACTTTGAAAAATCGTCTATTATTCAGATGAGTAAATTGTTCAAGTGTTTGAAATTATTTTTATCAGCGGTCGCGCATACAATGCTTAATTACTACTAAACACCAGGGGAATTATATTTGAAAGGCCTTGCAAACACTAACCTCTACAAAACACGGCGTGATGTAAAATCATCCAAAAGGTACCATAAACAGCACTAGAAAGTCAAGGAAATAACTCCATTTTCAACCTCATATTTCAAAATTTTCTCAGTCTATGGGAGGGGACACCCCGGCCAGGCCCACCCCAGTTACATATAGTTTTTCTAAATTCCATACTGTATCATATATAAGCAAATTGCATTGCCACTCATAAGATGAGCTATAAAAACAGACAAAAGTGCACAAATTTTCGCCTGTTGCGTTATTTTTATCAAAATCTTCCACCCATATGTCAGCCCCCCCCCCCCCCCCCCAGGAAACCATGTTCTGTATCCGCCCCTGGTCCTCATAATAATAAACTCCTCCCCTTAGTTCAAATTTGAATTTCTGTTATCACTTGATATTTAATGATAAGAACCTATATTTCCTTTTATATTTCCTCATACATTCTTATCTAGACATAGTCAAAAGAGGCGAGGTATTGCCCAGACACGAAAATATCTGATTGCATCCATGTATTAAATCACAGGAACTTGACATTTAATCAATAGATCACAAAATATGCGTATATTAGTGATATAGCCCTTATATAGAGATAAGGGCTGTATCACTAATATCAGGTATATATTAATATATATACCTGCTAATATACGCATATTTTGTGATCTATTGATTAAATGTCAAGTTCCTGTGATCTATGCATTATAGATTATTCTAACACTATCGGATTTTTTTCTGGCCCGAAGCGTGCATTATTCTACAACAATGCACTCGCCGTTCTTATTATCTCCCAGTGTATTTTCACATTGAGGGCGCCATTTTATTTGAAAAATCTTATAAATAAAACAATTTTTTGCCGAATTTTGTTGTGAAATCTATCTAGAATGAAAGAAAATGGTCTAACTAAGAAAATGAATCCGAACACCAATATCTTTAATTCAGTCGTTAACGGTGATTAAGGCGTTTACCACAACTTTTCCGCGCAACGTCAAAATACCATACTTCTGACCGAGACACCGTATCTTTTTGTCATACAAAATTGATGTCAAGACTGCATACGACAAGAAAACAGATGATAATTTGCCCAAAACAATGTAAAATCATCGAATTTTTCATTCCATCGAATGTGTCATTTAATTTGAAGCTTATTACTCTTAACTACATGCAAAATGCTTCACTATCTAAGTCAAGATAGTGAAAACAGTTGGGGCACACTGTGAAAAATATTGCTTTGATTGCGAAATTTTAAACTTTCTAGTACGTTTAGTTCATTTGACTAATCGAAATACAGTATAGATATGTACATTATTAATTGTTTGAACAAGTAACACCATTTTGATAACCTGTTTTTTGTAAAAATGGTATGATTTTCATGTTTCCACGTGCATACTCTAGGCACCGTTCAACTTAAACAGTAGTAAAATGTGGACACCGCATCATTCGTCCTTAAATCACTACATTCATTTTCTTTTCTTTTTTTCCAGTAACGTCGATCGACGAGAGATATTTACATATAGAGTTTATACATTTGAAGACATTCGGAAAAAATATATATAAAAAATCAACTTACTAGTCTATTGAGACCATTGCACTTATCTAACTGGTATTTTGGATTTCGACCTTCAAGTCTTCCATAAAATAACATTTTATTAATAAAAGAGAAAGTGAACAGTCTTCCTTCAAATAAAACATATTTGTAAGTAGATATGTAAGTTTATTTAAAAGTATGGTGCAAAAGAAAACAATGCCAGTTATTATCAGTCTAACGGAATAAAAATGCGGTGTTAGAATTCAGTGTTGTGCGTTGCTCCAATATGCATCTCAGTTAGACTTTTTGCATCACATATTCCCAAAAAATTACAATAGAAACACACCCTTTTGTGTGGAACTTTATTTTATGCTCAACCATTATATATATATTGGCTTGTCAGGTCATGGCAAAAACACATCGTCGTTAAAGCCCAGGTTTTTGTGATGAGTACATGTCATGTTGAGGTCGACACGACCTTTTGTAAACACTATTTCTTCGAAATATGTGATGTTCTGCGAATTGTGTTGTGCTAGATTAACAATGAAATGTTTAAAAAATTCGATGGAATAATTAAAACGTTGAAAAAAGTTTGCAATGTCTAACAGTAAGATATTTTATAGGCTATTTCCTACAATTCGATTAGCCCGCCATAACTATTTTGTCCAGAAAGATACGGTGTCTCGGGCAGAAGTATGATATTTTGACGTTGTGCGGAAAAGTTGTGGTAAACGCCCTATCACCGTGTACAACAATGCACTTAGAATTGATATCTATTTCCTAACCCTATCCATGGAGTTGAATGATCAGGCACACTTTACACAGTTACTTCCCTGCTAACATATACCCCCATTACCATTCGGAATATCTCGTCAAATAACGTGCTAACAGTGAAAATTGATGAAATTGAAATTTTATGTTCCAGAAAAAAATCCCCGAGGCGGTTTGATATTACTGGGAGAAAGAAATATACAGCAAACATGATTTTCAAAAGGTAACAATCAGTGCAAGTGTTATAATTCACTTTTTCTCGTGTGAAAGGGCCATGCTTTAACGTTTAATAAGTCCCACAGATGATTCGTGCCAAAACGAAAAGCACATCTCGAATTACAAATTATGCGCCCTGCTTTGTTAAATGAAATTAGGCAAATTCTATGACACTTTGAATGGGACGGTCGGTTTTAAAAATTGTTCATTTTTTTATTTTATATTTTCTATATTAATTAAAAAAATGTCAAAAAACGCCAATTTTTCACCAAAATTCGGTGTAAGGGCACGTGTTAACATGGAAAATCTAGTTTTTGTGTAATTCAAGGTTTTTCATCATTTTCATCATTTTTTGTTAACCTTTTCTCCTTATATAAGCCCCCCCCCCCCTTTTTTGAGGCCTCAAACAGTGAAAAAATGGCCTAATTAGGCCCCAAACACTGTTTTTCGTTTGAGAAATGTTGTTCAAAAAGTGACCACTTTTTCAGCACCGTCCCCCATCCAAATGTTACATCAGGGGGTTGTCAGAAAGGGTATGTTCCCCCTTCTGTTTGGGGGGTTTGAAGGGTGGCGGAGTTCCCCTCATCGCCAAGAAAATTTTGGACATGTGACAGGCTAAAAATGGCCTCAGGTGGATCTTAGGATAACTAGTACCTGACGCTGAAAAGCCTTTTACTCTATCTCAATTCATTGAGAAGTTGCAGCACTTTGAAATCAGTTTTGATGGAAAAAAACAATGCAAAATAGTGATTTTTGGCAATTTTGAGACGACCCCCGTTGCCATGGTAACAGGAAATTTACGATTGAGCATGCTGTCACAGAGGCTATGGTCTAGTCAACATTTGTGCCAAGTTTAATCAGTATTGAAGGATTTTTCATAGTTTCATAGAAGTTTGAACTTGTTACAGGAGGCTTTTCAATGAAAACGGCCATTTTTCGCAACTTATGCTCATGGGGTAAAAGGTTAAAGGTGACATTTTCTATTTCATGCATCTCTTCTATTTCAATAAAGTGGGAACACCTCAACAATATCATTAAGCTGAAAAGTTGCGATTCTACTGTTATGGGAATACCCTGCCTGTTATCATAGAGTTACATTGAAAATGGTGGCGCCCTACTAGATACGACACTAAAAATCCCTGTAACAGGGTATGGGCATCAGCAAAATTTAGGACTGGAGTGCTTGGAACTGCCTGTGACGGCCTTAAAAGTAGGATTGTCATTGATTGGAAAATTTTTTTTATCCATATATCGAAAGACAAAATATCAATATATATATTGACTTTGACAGTAGATATAATGAAAAACATTTAAATATGTGTTTAAAATTGGGATCATAGTGTTATCACTGTTATGCATGCTTGTATTAGACATTACAAATAATACAAACTAACAGAAAGTTTGTTTTTTCTGTTATTTTGTCACTGAAATTTAAAAAAAGGAATTTTATGTTCAAGTTAGCCAAGAAAACTGGTCAAAAGTGACTTCTTTTATTAGGCAAAATAGAGAGGTATATTCAGTTACAGAAATAAATAAATTTTAGCTTGTATCAATATGTGAAAGTATGTATCAATATTGTATCGGATGATGAATATCGATGATATATTGATATTGCGATATTCAATGACAGCTCTACTTAAGAATAATTTTAGGATTGGTCAGTCTGTGTACATAGTATCGTTTGAGTTGTTTGATTTTATTTATTATCAAACAGGAAATTAAAATTTTCAAGATCTATTTAAGAATTTTATATTACAATGCTGATTTTTGATTTGTTGAAGTCTATCCTACAAACCCACGTAAATTCTTTGAGGGAGACTTGTTTAAAGTGTTTCTGTAATTGTTTTTTCCAGATACACTAAATGGTAAATGCCACATGGAAACAGTTGTATAACTGTAACTTCGAGCCTCATTTTATTAAAGACTTGCTTGAAAGGATGGTGACATGTGATAATTGTGGGAAAGGCTTCAGTAAAAGAACATACCTTATACAACATCTGAAAATACACTCTGGTTTGTATTAAGCAGCAAAATATTTGTCAATTATTTTAATATTTTCTTCATTTACTGTCTGTTTACATGTTGTTTTTGTCAAAACATTCAACAAATTTGAAAGTTGATTAGTTACTGTACCCTCAGGTGCCAAGCAGATGTACATCAGTAATTGAAGTTAATCACATAATATTTAATTTCGTTGAACAAGCGTTTCAAAATTTTTCACAAAAATATGTTGTTACCAACTCATGCAATTTAGTTAATACATGAGTATTAATTGATATGGAAGTGTTAACTCTGTTATATTTGTGCCCCTATAATTTGTTACAGCTTTTTCACATTTTTGAAAGGCCCAGCACCTTGATAATGGTATGATCACATTTGAAATTTTGTCATCTGTTATCACATTTTGTTTTTAACCGAACTCTGTAAACTAGTTTTGTGTCACCTACTTCAGATTGCTTCTCCATCTTTCAGAGTTTTTTGGTTATGGTATCTTTAACAAAAGTGTTAAGAGCTCCCATTTAAACACATCAACCAAAATATGAAAGAGCCACTGTTTAGAAAACATGTACAATTGTGTCAAAAAAATATCATGGCTTTTCTTAACTTGCAGATAGAAAGCCGTTCAGTTGTTCTGTGTGTTTCAAGAAGTTCCGGTACAAACAGACATATGAGGAACATTTAGAACGACATGCCAAAAATAAAAATGTACAATGCGATATGTGTGGGAAAAGGCAAGAAGAATGACATATTTAATTTCTTTTATGAGCTCATGAGCATCTGAGCATAAATTGCTCTCTGTCTGAATGTAATCTACCTGACTCTGTTTTAAGTTCACCTGTCTCAAAGTGACGTGGTGTGCTTTTGTGATCGCTTTTCATCCGGCGTCGATCCGTACGTAAACTTTTATTTTAAACTACATCTCCTCATTAACCGCTAAGCCAATTTCATCTAAACTTCACAGAAATGTTCCTTTGGTGTTCACCTTTAATGAAAATTGTTCAAAGAATGTAATTCCATGCAGAACACTTATTGCCATGGCAACCAAAAGAAAAAACTAAAAATATCTTCCTTAAAAAACCTGAAGAGGTAGAGTTTACATATTTGGCATGAAGCATCTTCTAGTGAGTGTCTATCAAATTTGTTCAAATAAAAGCCCTAGGGTCAAAATTGGCCCACCCCAGGTGGTCATTGCTTTTCCTTATAATTATGTATATAGTTAAAACTTAAAATATCTTCTTGAAAAAACCCAAAGAGCTAGAGCTTAGATATTTGGCATGAAACATTTTCTAGTGAGTGTCTATCAAGTTTGTTCAAATGAAATCCCTGGGTTCAAAATTGGCCCCACCTGGGGGCTGGGGGGGGGGTCATTGATTTTCCTTATATGTTAATAGTAAAAACTTTAAAAAATCTTCTTTTAAATAACCCATAGACATAGAGCTTAGATATTAAGCATGAAAGATCTTGTAGTGAGTGTCTACCAAATTTGTTCAAATAAAAGCCCCAAGGTTAAATTGGCCCTCAGTGTCTATTCTAGGAATTGAAAAATTGGGGTGATTTTCCCCCCTCTATTTCAAAAAAGGGGGCGATTTTCAAAATCAAAGGGTGCCAATATAAACTGCCTATGTTAAATCGTCTGCATTAAGTTTACACTGAGGCGTTCAACCGATGAAATAATTAAAACGATAATATTTATTTAAGGCAGCAGAAGTTGTCCCCCCTTAATTTTTAAACGAAAACAAATTATTACAGAACTGCCGCGATTGATTATAAAGGGATTGGCAATAAAAATAATCGAACTATCTTTCAGGTCAAGATCGTAGCCAAGCTAGGAATTGCCTCATTTTTCTTAATTATTTACTACACTAAAATGGCGCCCAACTGTCAGACCTAGCACACTAGTTCCGGTCAATAAGGAACATTCCGTTAATTTCCGTCAACTCACGTATTAAACCAGTACCATACGGTACTAAATTATTAAAATTAGCTTACAGTTACCTCCCTTCCGTTTTCGGTGTAAATGTAAACAAAACAACCAAATATAATGCGGGATGGAAGTTATACGGTTTTATTAACTTTTTTTATAGATGCGCGATTTTCACGCACATGATTTTGAATTGTGCGCAATCTGTTAAATACTAGCGTGAATCGCGCAATCGCGGGTCCTAGAATAGACACTGGCCCTGCTCCTGGGGTCTAATTTTCCTTACATGTCTATAGTAAAACTTAGCAAATCTTCTTTAAAAAACCCAAAGACAAAGGCCTAGATATTTAGCATGAAACATTCAAATGGGTGTCTACAAAGTTCGTTCAAATAAAAGCCTTAGGGGCAAAATTAGCCCTGCTCCAGGGGGTCATTGATTTTCCTCATATATACAAGGGTTGTTCAAAAAGTAATAGGACTAAGAGTCTTGCATCTTCATATTCAATTCAATTTAGAATATTTTTATATGTACAGCGATCGAAAAATGTTGTCTTCAATTTAAACATAAAAATATTGAATTCTTATGCTTAACGTGTGTTCCCTGTGTTATTGAATAACCATGGTAACACCCACCCGGCGCAGCACATAAAAAGGTTATTGAAGCTTAGTTGAACTTCTATTTTATTCATAATTTATTTTATTTTTTCCCCATTTATTCCACCAACACAATTTATTATATTTAAGTGGCATTATGCCCAAATTTGACGTCATTCAGACATGAAATGGCTAAATCATTAAGTTTTGAACAGCAGTTAAATGTAGAAATTTGACGTACGTTAAAAAACTGAAAATGTGTGCGATCGTTAAACTTTGCCAACAAATTGGCGATACTCCTTCAGATACATATGAAAACATAAAATTAACACAGTACAATTAATCGGCTATCAGGATACTCGTTCTCAGCTTGCGCAAAGAACTCAAAAACTGCACATACGAAATCACAAACAGGAAAGGATGACAATGATAGCGGGAAATTGACGGGACGTTAGTGACGTCATATGAAAAAGCGCTACAAAATGATCGACGGTAAACAGTCCACGAACTGTCTGGCATGTTTGATTTCTGCATCGGTTCTATTGATTCAGTTCTGCCTAAATGATTTGTTTCAAACAAAATTCTATTTCATTTAACTAGATATATGTGTTATGAATACATATTGTTATAATGGTTAACGGCAATTACTAATATTTTCCCCGATTTTCTTTTAAAAATGATACGCTGTTCCGAGTAGGAAAATATACTTTTCAGTTGATAACTATTGTTTTTTAGCTCGACTATTCGAAGAATATGAGAGCTATTGTAGTCGCCCCGGCGTCAGCGTCCGCGTCGGCGTCTGCGTTGGTTAAAGTTTTTTGTAAAGTCAAATATCTCAATTATTACTTGAGATATTCAATTGAAACTTACAATACTTATTAATAGTAACAAGGCACATCAGATTGACAAGTTGGATAACTCTGCCTACAATATTGACAGAAGTATGCCCCTTTTTAACTTAGAAATTTTGGTTAAAGTTTTTTGTAAAGTCAAATATCTCAATCAATGCTTGAGATATTCAATTGAAACTTACAATACTTATTTATAGTAACAAGGTACATCAGATTGACAAGTTGGATAACTCTGCCTACAATATTGACAGAATTATGGCCCTTTTTAACTTAGAAATTTTGGTTAAAGTTTTTTGTAAAGTCAAATATCTCAATTATTGCTTGAGATATTCAATTGAAACTTACAATACTTATTTATAGTAACAAGGTGCATCACATTGACAAGTTGGATAACTCTGCCTACAATATTAATAGAATTATGCCCCTTTGGAACTTAGAAATTTTGGTTAAAGTTTTTTTGTAAAGTCAAATATCTCAATTATTGCTCGAGATATTCAATTGAAATTAAAATACTTTTTTATAGTAACAATGTACATCAGTTTGCAAAATTGCATAACTCTGCCTGCAATATTTGCAGAATTATTTGCCCCTTTGAAAGTTAGAAATTTTGGTTAAAGATTTAAGGTCTTCAAAGATATTTACTTGAAACTTTACACATGCACTTAGGGTCATAATTGGAGGGTCATAATTGTATGTCACTGACCAAGTTCCATAACTCTATCTTGCATTAAGGCTGATTCATATCCCCTTTTCTACTTAGTCTCTTGGTTAATGTTTACATGCAAGTTTTACATATCTCAATAACTATTAAAGATATTTATAAAAAACTTCACATATGCATTTAGGGTCATAATTGTAGGTCACTGACAAAGATCCATAATTCTATCTTGCATTTAGGCTGATTTTTCTCCCCTTTTTCAACTTAGAAATTCATGGTTAAGTTTTTCTTGTAACTTGTTATCTCAATAACTACTGAAGGGTTTGTGCCTTTTTCGGGACAATTTTATGCATTCATAATAATAAAGCAGTGATTTACTTGATAAAACATCTTAATAACAAGCCTTTGTACATTTTCTGCCAAATTTATTTATTCATAGGTAATTAGTATTATTATACTCAATAAAACACCCTTGTGACATTACCTTCCGAATAGTCAAGCAAATACTGTATAATTAGACTCTCTCTTAGGCCTATAACATGAATTTATAAAAAAAAATTAGCCCTTTTGTGAACTTAAAAAATTAAACAATATAAAGGCTCTTTTACTATCAAGCACTTAGAATAGTCGAGCGTGCTGTCCTACAGACAGCTCTTGTTTACTTACATAATCATATTGTTTTAAGAACGTACGATGATATGTGTAAAATAATTCTATTAATCGCTTTTTCATTAACATCATAAGTTCATGCCTGTTTAATCTACATTGATTACTATAAGATACAAGAATATGAGAAAAAGTTGAGAGTGGCCTGCTATCGAGCTTTTTTTTTCTCGGAATGTGGAACAAGAATGTGATTGTTTTCTATCTCGCTTCATCTCCACATATGAGGTCTGGTCAAAGTTACATGATTTAGGTACAAAGAACACTAGGGACAATTCTTTCAGAAGGGATGACCTTGATATGTTTTGTTTTTATTTTACGACGTCATAAACGTCATCTATGGTGCTGTTAGCGTTCGCGGGGTCGCGTACCCCTTGTCATTTGACATTTTCACAGACTCGTTATTTTTAATCATATTTTATTGATTTTTTTACTGTATATAGAGGATACATTCCGAAATTATTTACTTGTAAAATTGTGCACGTTAATTAAAAAATGTGAACAGTAGAATTGCAGTCCTATTACTTTTTGAACAACCCTTGTACATGTATATAGTCAAAACTTAAAACTCTTTTTGTGAAAATCCAAAAGAGCTAGAGCTTAGATATTAACATAAAACATCTTCTAGTGGATGTCTACCAAGTTTGTTGAAATGAAAGCCCTAGGGTCACATTTGGCCTGACCCCAAGGGTCATTGATTTTCCTTATATGTACTGTAAATCCTGTATTTTTCGGCATGTTTTAATTTTCGCTATTTCTTCTTGGGTGAAAGGGGTTCCACTTAAACCTTTTGACCTATTTCTCATGTGAGCCTTCAAGGACCTCTTGGCTCTCTTGTTTAGTTTAGACTTTTAGAATAAAAAAGGTAAGAGAGAAGAGGTGTGTTACAGTCACCTCAGTGTTCCCTTTGCTGTCCACAAACTTGTACCTTGATAATAAATTATTATGTTCTTGGTGTATTGTCTTTATACTTGGCCACAACAACCCTTGGGACAAGACCTCTAAGTAGATCAGACTTACCTTGACCTTCATTTATAAATGACC